TTCGGCAAAGCAGCCTGAGTTATTTTTGTGGACGGAATCGGAACACGCTGGCTCCATATTGTGAAATTTTTATTAATTTTTTTCTTTTTCCTTTGTTATTTCCTTCTCTCTTCCTATCTTCAGACTCCGTCCAAGGAGATGCTCTCCCCGGTCTTCTGCTGCGATTAGATTCCTTTCCCTTTTCTCCATTCCTCGCTCTTCTCTTTCCAAGGAGAGAGGAGCAAATGGTTTTAGGCAAAGGCTTTGGCCATTAACGGCAGGCTCGTGGGGGGTGGGGGTTGTTCCTTTGCTTCTGAGATTTTCAAGGTGCCATTGCCACCCCCGAGTTGTTTGTTGTTTTTTTTAAGTGTGAGATTTTGTCTCTGCCATCCTCGTAGAGTAGCAGGTTAACCTCCAGGTCCCGAGTCCACATCCATCTTGGCACCCCTGCCAGCAGTAGGTGGGTCCTCCCAGGCCACCGGGGGTTCGTCTGCCAGCCCAGAGAGTCCTTTCCACACTCTCTGAGCACCTAAGCTGCCTCAGATTCCATTTGTTCCTCTCCTTCCTGGAAGGCTCCCTTTACATTTTATTTTAATCCTAAACGTCTAAATGTTTCGCAGTGTCTAAGGGTTTGAGCTCTTTGTTTTTTGTTCTGCTTCCTTTTTTTTCCAAACCCTTGCCTCTTCATGGAGTGATTATGTTGACAATGATGTATAATGCGCGTTTTCCTCACTGGGTTATCTGCAGAAATTTCTCTGGGCTTTTTTTTTTTCGGTGTATGATTCAACACTGCGTTAAAGGGGGGTGTTCCATTGAATAAAAGAGCAGTGTGGTTTTCTGGGTCTGTTTCTTTATTTTCCTTTCTCTTAAACACTCTCTACCACCACCAGCGGCAGCACCAAAGTTACCTGCATTCAGCACTTGTCCCCAGTTGTCCTTTTCTCCCTGGGGAACCTGTGGGACCTTCATTAAGGAAGCAGCCCACCTGCCTCCCTGTGTGTGGCTTGGCTGGTGAAACCTGAGTGTGTGGATGGCCTCATCATCTCCCCATTGTTTACTAGTTAACAGCTGAGAACCAGATCCCCGCTCCCATCCCCACCATCACCCTTCAGCCCCTCTGGTCCCTGTCCCTTTGAAGGCCTTTCCCTGGGGCTTGGACCCCCGCATTTCATGAGTTCTGGTTGTGAGTCAGTCGTGCCTGGAAGCCGCCACCTGGAAGCCGCCACCTGACGGAGGCGCTGGGCCTGGGGAGGCATGAGCACTAAAGGTCAAGCCCGCTAATCCTGCCCAACAGGCTCAGAGGAGCTAAAATTAAAACCGCCAAGTGGCTTTTTTCTTTCGCTGCTGGTGACTTGCAGCCTGCCAGCCCTGCAGCCTTTGTGGGTGGTGGGCAAGAGAAAGCGCCCACCTTGTGCTTTGTAAGCGCTTCTTGGCAAAGGGTCTTAGGCCATATTGTTCTTTCATGTCTTGGTCCGTGGACAGTGCCCATCACAGCACCAGAAGAATCCATGTTAGGTCTCCCCGAGGTGGTGAGGTCCTCGCCCAGCTGCCACTGCCATTGCTGTGCTGCCCCTGGGAAAGGCGTGGTCGAGCCTGCCCTTCCTGGCTGCCTCTCCTCCTTTTGGAGAGGCTAAGGAATGACAGGCTCCTGCTGCCCCCGGCACCTGGCCAGTGGGCACAACTGTGCCCGGGCTGCTTTCCAGCCTCAAGCTGGGGCAGGCCACTGCCGTTTATCCAGAACAGAGCCTGGGTGTCTGGGCCCCAACCACGAGGCCTGTATGCATTTGCATAGGCCTGTAGGGGTTAACAAGGCTCTAGAAAGAAGGCAAGTGCAGTGGGTTTCTTAACCAAACCGTAAATCTGTTGACTAAAAGGGAGAAGGGAAAGATTTTTTTCTCTGTCCCTAAGTGACGGAATGGGGGCAGGGCCCAGGGCCTGGCTACCCTCTTTGACCTTGGCTTCGCCTCATTGCTTCCCCCACAAGCTCGGTTTCCCTGGTGGGCTCATTGGGCGGTTAATTAGCTCTTTGAAGCTCTGGAAGAGGCAAAGTGGCGCTATGTGGGTTTTAGAAATAAAATCAATAAATGACTTAACCACAGCCTAGCTATCTCCGTCTCTCTCCCCTGGGGCCAGCTCCACTCCTGTGCTCACTCCCTCTCTGTTCCCTGCCGTCAGCTTTTGTTAAGGTTTGGAGAGTAACAAAGTGGCTGACGAAGGCATCAGTCTTGGGCCGAAAATTTCTCCAGGCAGCCTGAGGCCCTGAAATGGAAGAGAGACAGCAGGAAGGCCGGCAAGTACCTGCCTCTGTGGAAGACTGGGAGAGACGAGAAATGCTCCCCCCGCCTCCCTCGAGACACCTGGGGTGGAGGAAAAAGCCTCCTTGACCCTCTTGTTATAAAGGGCCAGGCATCCCTTGTTCCTGTTTCTGCTGCTGCAGCAGTGTCCCCACCCACTCAAAGCTTGCTTGGTGAAAGGAATGCCAGTTGGGAAAGGTCAGCGATAGGGCTCTGTTACTGAGACCCCGCCAAGTGCTCTGGAGAAACCCAAGATGGTGTAGGGAAGGAGACAGGATTTGTGGTTAGAAACTTAGTCGGACATAAACAACCTTGAGTGTGTTCAGATTGGAAAAGAGCTTTCAGAGTTCTTTAAGATGAATCTGCACACGCACCACCAAGGGGAGCAAAGGAGGGGAGGACATGGGGAAACAGGGCGGTGCGAGGTGGCATCATGCTGGGCGGGGGCGTGCAAAATAAAGGAGGGACCCATGGGGTTGCGTCACCCCTGGAAAAAGCCTGGGAACAGTTTGAGCGGTGGCCACTGACACAACAAAGCAGAGAACCCACGAGAAAGGCAGTTGGAGAAACAAGTCTGGAGTGCATTTGTTTCTCAGTAGAAATGGGACGTGTCCCGGTTCTGCAGGTGCCCTGGGTGCAGAGGAAGAGCGATCACTGGATTGATGGCGGGAAGAGGGGCCTTGGGGCCGGCTGCTGGGAAGGATGGAATTAACTTGGGGAGCGGGATAAGAAAATAGGAAGAGTCTGTTGGGAGCAGGTTCTTAGTGGCAGCAAAATAAAATCTTGCAATGAGGGCTCAGTGCGAAGGGGGTTTGTGTGGCCAAGCGTGCTGCCACAGTTGGGGTGTGAGGTGACAGCACGGGTAACTGGCGCTGCTCTGTCGAGGGATCAGCATGTGCCTGGAGCCTCCTGAGCCCTGCTCGGAGCAGCTCTCCAGGAGGAAGCACAGGCCAGGCGGCCCCAGCCCAGGGGGGTGGGGTGAACTCCCGCAGAGGGACAGCCCAGGAGAGGCCAAGCATGGGAGCTGTGGAGAGACCAAAGGACCATTCCTTTTTGAAATACAACGTATAAAAGACTTTTTAAAAAGAGAAATTGGAAAATATATAAAAGTTTTCTATGTTTTCCATGTTTTCTATGTTTTCCATGTTTTCTATGTTCCCACTACATCTGTATAGGCGCATTTTGGTATTTTCTTCCTGGTCTTTTCTCTATAAGGAAAATCTGGCGCTATGGAAGATCTTCATGGTAATGCTGTTGGGGGGGCGGGGGCAGAGCAGGGCTCGGGCACCGGAAGACCTGGGGAGGACCTGCAGTCTCGCCCCTGCACTGAGCGGGGGTTCTGGGCTGGGTTTGCTGTGGCCCAGAGTCCTTGGAAACAGCCTGGCCTTCCCCAAACCAGGCTCTCAATAGCATCCTGCAGCTGTCCAGGCCTCTGACCTGCTTCGTTGGCCCTCAGACCAGAACACTCAGTTCTTCCCCTCCACCGGCCCACTGCCCCGGGAGGCCCAGGCATTTTTCGCAAAAGCACAAGGTTCTGGGCTCCTTTTGCTCAAAGAACAAAGCAGGATCCAAAGGTGGCCTCCACAAGATGAGGAGGCAGCAGCTGGATGGGTCAGGGATTTATATTCTCATCTGAGGGAATAAATTTGATGAAGGACTCCAAGGCTCAGGAAAATAAAGCAAGCAGCCTAAAGTCACACAGCAAATCAGTGCAGGGGCCAGGACGTGAGTGGTGAATTGAGAGCAGCCAAAACCTCTAAAGGGAGGGCCTGAAGCTGCGAGCCATGGAGACCAATGTAAAGCTCTTGGGGGGCAGGGGCTCCTGTTTTACAGGTGAGGCCACAGCTGTGAACCCTGGCCCACGTGTGGCCCCGGGTGGGAGGGGTGAGTGGCAGAAGGCCGCTGATCACTTACCTGGCGGCTGCATCTGGGGGAGACCTACTACCACTGGCCAATATTGTGAGTGGGCTGGAGGATGCTTCAGTTTCTCCTACCCCTGTGGGCCCACAGGACTACACTTCCCAGGGGCCCCTGCTCCAGGCTGGCAGCCCCTAGCCAAAACTGGCCTGTAATCTGACCATCCCTCCTCCCTCTCGAAAGGTCACTTCAGAGCTCCTTGAGAGACAGCAACAGGGGGAGCTCAGAGTGGCTTGGCTTTGGTGGGGGGTGGGGTGGGGGCATTGGCTCTGCCTCAGGCGACCTCCCCCATACCATCCCCTGGAACCCAGGGCCATGGCCCCCTTCTCTCAGATGCCAGTGTCCTCTGCTAGCCGCACGTCTTCTGTCCCGGGCACCCTGACCCTCAGCTCCTGGCCCTTCAGCCTGGAGGGGGGTCCTGGCCCCTCTTGCCACATGTGGCCTTGCCACCGAGTGCAGCTAATGACAGCCTCCCGGTGTACGGCCACCATGGAAGCTTGACCAGAGGTCATCCAGCCTGCAGGCAAGACTGCAGTCTCTTTGGGCAAATGTCTAAAACAAGCCAAGCTGCTGTGATGGAGGCTGGGCCTCCTGACCCCTGCCCCACCTTGATGGCCCCCTTGGGCCTCTCCAAGGAGCCCTGATTGACAGCCCACAATTCTGCCCCATCCTTCCTCTATACCGCAGGACAAGGGCCCAGCTCAGGGCAACCTGACAAGCGCCCAGCTCAGGGCAACTTCTTAGCCAAAATCAGCCCTTCAGCTCCAGTAAAGCTTCTGGCCTCGCAAGCCAGCACTCTGCCTTCCTGCAGAAGGCGGGGACAGAAGACAAGACCCCAGTGTGTGAAGCCTGGAGGAAATGGGTCAGTGCAGGGCTGTGAAAGAGCCAGGCTGGGCCTGGCCTGGCCTGTGTGGAGCTCAGTCTGCTCTCCCTGCCCCTCTCTCCTCTCCTCCCCTTGCCCCCAAAATAGCTCCCTGGGCTGCCAGGCCAAGACCATCCCTTCGAGGGGGGAGGCGGGGCATGCTGCCCAGAGCCCGGCTTTAAATCCCCAGGCAGCTGGGGATCTCCACTGCCTGGCTGGAGGCACTGCTGAGGCCGCCTGTCCGGCCGCCTGTCCAGCCGTCAGTCCAGCTCGCCCTCCTGCAGCCATGTCCCGGCCCCTGACCGACCAGGAGAAGAGAAAGCAGATCAGCGTGCGCGGCTTGGCCGGCGTGGAGAATGTCACCGAGCTGAAGAAGAACTTCAACCGGCACCTCCATTTCACACTCGTCAAAGACCGCAATGTGGCCACCCCGCGAGACTACTACTTCGCGCTGGCCCACACTGTGCGCGACCACCTTGTGGGCCGCTGGATCCGCACGCAGCAGCACTACTATGAGAAGGACCCCAAGGTGCAGCTTGGGGCACCCCGGGTGGGGAACAGGCTGAGGGACCCCCACAGGGCTAGGAGATCTTGACCAAGTAGCAGCCCCTTCCTGGGGTCACAGTTTTCTGCAGCAAAATAAAGGGTCCCTCCAGGTTCCTGAGGTTCGAGGATCCAGGGGTGCCAGGTGCAGTGGGTGCTGGGGCAACCCAGGAGGAGAAACTTAGGGGGGCAGGTCGGGAGTTTAGGTCAGGTGGGCTGGTTGCAAAGGCCCAGCCTCCACTCAGAGAATGGAGGGGCTGCTGGTGGGCAGGAAGACCCCTGTGGCCTGGGTTGGACCCGAAGTGGAGGGATGTGTCGTTGAATGTGTGTGTGGTCTGCCTGTGCAGCGGGTGGGGTGCGTCTGGGGCAGCTGGGGCAGCAGGATCAAGTGTCCGTTGGGGTCATTGGTAAATGTCAGCAACCTGACACTCCTGGCAGCGGTGGGGGAGGGGCGGGCGGGTGGGGCAGGGAGGGGACCCAGGAAACCTGGAGACCAGGCACCATCAGCATCCTGGATCCTGGTGCCTCTCCATCCCCTTCTTGGGGCTGAGGCTTGAGGGCCGAGGGGAACTGGGTACTGCAAGGATGGGATTCTAGCTGTGAGCTTGAGCAAATGACTTTTTTCTCTGAGCCTTGGCCTTCCCCTCTTGGAGAGCACTTCCAGGTGCTTCCCTGGGTCCTGACTCCCTGATGGGCTGTTGGGAAGTTTGTGTGCACGGAAAGGGGTCTCACCTCCCCCAAGCACCTCAATCCCTGAGGTAGATATGGCCAGCCCCATTTTCCAGATGAGAAAACTGAGGCTCGGAGAGGAAAAGTGATTTGTCCAAAGTCGGAGAAAATGCTGGAACCAGAACATTGTCTGTTGAGTCCCAAAGCCTAAGATGGGAAGAAAACAAATGGAGACAGGGCTGGAACATGCTGGGGCCTAGGAGTGGGGCAGGAAGTGTGAAAGGTGCAGGCCCAGCTGGGCCTGGCTGAATGCTGGTGGGCAGCCCTGACCGCCCTCCTCTGCCCGTCTGTCTCTCCGGGCAGAGGATCTACTACCTGTCTCTGGAGTTCTACATAGGCCGGACGCTACAGAACACCATGGTGAACCTGGCCCTGGAGAATGCCTGTGATGAGGCCACCTACCAGGTGCGGGGGGATGGAGGTGGGGCGAGCCTTAGGGATTGGGGGATTCACCTGCTGGCCCTTGGCCCTGACCACTGCCACACCCTCCCCGCTCTAGCTGGGCCTGGACATGGAAGAGCTGGAGGAAATCGAGGAGGACGCAGGCCTGGGCAACGGAGGCCTGGGCCGGCTGGCGGGTGAGCGGAGAGGGCGGCAGGGCTGGGGCGGGCAGAGGGCTCCTCGGTGCCAGTCCCTGATGCCGCCTTCCTGTGCACCCCTAGCCTGCTTCCTGGACTCCATGGCAACGCTGGGCCTGGCTGCCTATGGCTATGGGATCCGCTATGAGTTCGGGATTTTTAACCAGAAGATCTGTGGGGGCTGGCAGGTGAGCAGCCTTGGGCTCTGACCTTATGGGGGCCCGTCCCACTCAACGGAGAGGACTCCTATTTGGTCATCCATCTCTGGATAGATCCAGGACCAGCCCCAGCCTCGGTGGAAAGCATCCTTGCCCCTTCCCCCTGGCCCCGAAGCCAGCTGGTCACTCCTGGAGCAGGTGGCTCACACCTGTGGATCTGCTCAGACTCCCATACACATACCATGTCGCACTGGATACCGCACCAGACCAGGGCCCACCCCGGAGCCCTTAATTTACACCCCACATAGGGCACGCCAGGGCCACTGCCCCTGCCCTACCCACCGCCGCGGTGGTGTGAGCTGGGGTCTGACGCTGCCTTCCTTTCTCCCCTGACCCGCCGTGGGCGCAGATGGAGGAGGCTGATGACTGGCTCCGCTACGGGAACCCCTGGGAGAAGGCCCGACCGGAGTTTATGCTGCCTGTGCACTTCTACGGCCACGTGGAGCACACCAGCCAGGGGGTCAAGTGGGTGGACACACAGGTGAGGGCGGAGCCGGGGGGTGGGGGGAGGCTCCAGTGGGAGGGAGGGGGAGAAGGAGCCTAGAGGAAACAAGGAGATAGAGAGAAAGAGCCTGGAGGCTCCTGGACCCAGCGCTGTTTTACAATGGAGGACACTGAGGCTCAGAGAGGTTAAGTGACTTACTCAAAGTCACACAGCTCGAGCCAGGAGAGGCTGGAGACAGGGCCACAGGGAGCCAGGCCAAGTGCAGAGCCTGAGAGGAGAGAGGCTGCCCTGCTCCGTCAATTCCCCTGCTCTGACCTGGCTCCTCTCCATTCCACAAGACTCATCAAAGAATAATCACAGTGACTTGACTCCCCCGCACATCTGACTTGGGGGCTTGATGGGAAGCAAAGCAACAGCCCAGAAAGGGAGACCAGGGTAAAATTAAAGCCTTGAGAGGGGAACTGACTTGTTCAAGGTCACGTAGCAAGTTAGAGGGAGCCTGAAGCAACCACAGCTCAGTCAGTCGTCTTGCTGTGGCTGCAGGTCATCGGCCTCCAGATGGCTGCACAGAAACCTCTAGGCTTCCAGAATTGGGCATTTGTTCCACTGTCAATCACGCTAAGGTCCAGCAGGGGCTCTGGCTGCCTGCCCGGCTGTGTGCTCTTGGGCCTGTCCCTTCCCTCTCTGAGCTACAGCTTCCTGCTTCAGTCAGGGGCTACTTGGTGTTGGGGAGGGAGGGTGATGCCCCTTGGAGGAGGGATGTGACCCCGGCCCCAGGTTGTGGGGGGGAAGGCAGTTATTGGGAGCAATTATTGATGTTTGCTAATTGGGGGGGTGGGGCCAGCCTCAGTCAGTGCCAATTAGCCTGGTGGTCAACCAGGCATAAATCTGTTGATGGACTTGACCTCCATGACCCCTTCAGCCGAGCCCCTGGGTCCCCCAGCCTTTTCATGAGCCCAGAGTGTCCTTTAAGTTGTGCTCAGGCCAGGCAGGCCAGCTCATCCCCGTCACTGCAGAGTGGTCTTGGGCTCTGGGCTCCTCACTGCCTCCTCCCGGGTCCTCACAACAGCCCGGCAAGGCGGGGCTGGGGGTGTGGGGAGACACTGGGGCATCCTCTCTTTACGGATGAGGTCCAGAGAGGTTGAGGGGTTTGCTGGGTTGCTGGGTTGCAGAGCTGGGAAGAGAACCTGGGGTTGGGAGCTGGCGGAGTGCAGGGGCGAAGCCTGGAGTCCCAGCTCTCAGGGCCCCACGAGGCAGACCCGGTGATGCCCAGCTCCTGACCCCGCCCTGGGCACCCCACAGGTGGTGCTGGCCATGCCTTACGACACGCCCGTGCCTGGCTACCGCAACAACTTCGTCAACACCATGCGCCTGTGGTCCGCCAAGGCCCCCAACGACTTCAACCTCAAGGACTGTGAGTTCGTCCCGCCGGTGGTCAGCGCCCCTGCCCACCACAGCCCCCGCTCTGCCCCAGCCTGACACTGTCCCCCCTTTCACTCCCTCAGTCAATGTCGGTGGCTACATCCAGGCTGTGCTGGACCGCAACCTGGCAGAGAACATCTCTCGTGTCCTGTACCCCAATGACAATGTATGTCACCCCTGGGCTGGGGGCAGGAGGCCCGAGTGCCTGGGAGAGGGGGGCAAGGAGGGGACACTCGCTGGTGCCCTAGTCATACCCAGGGCATGTTGCTGGCCCCTGTGTGCCCTGTTCTTCTCCCAGGTCTTTAAGTAAGAGGACGGCTGAGTCCTGGGGGCCGCAGGTCAGGGAAGGGCATTTTGGAGGAGCTGTTCCCTGGACTGCCCACAATACTCTTGGTCTTCGTATGCCCCCCTCCTGACACTGTCCCCCATCACTACTTTTAGTGGGGGAAGACCCCTGGGTCCTGGAGGTGGGGACAGTTCAGGCTCAGGGGTCTCGGTGTGGGTGGAGTCTCTCCTGGCCACACCCACAGCAGCATTAGGCCACGCCCCCACCTTGACTCCGCCCTGCCTTGCACTGTCCCCAGTTCTTCGAGGGAAAGGAGCTGCGGCTGAAGCAGGAGTACTTTGTCGTGGCTGCCACACTCCAGGACATCATCCGCCGCTTCAAGTCCTCCAAGTTCGGCTGCCGCGACCCCGTGCGCACGAGCTTCGATGCCTTCCCGGATAAGGTACCAGGCCCAAGGGAGCTGCCCTCTACACCTCCTGCCATGTGTGCCATCAACTCTCCCCTCCAGCCTCACCGTGCCCCACCCATTGTGCAGATGAGGAAGTGGAGGCTGGGGGCGGGGTGCGCATGTGAGGGTGACCTGCTCAGGATGCTCAATCAACAGGCACAGAACCTGGGCTTCCTCCTCCTCCGCCCCACAGCTGCACCCATGAGGGCCTCCGCCCCCAGCTCAGCCCTAGAATCATGCGGGGCTCTTGGAGGGGATCTGAAGGGGCAAAGGACAGTGACCATCGCCTTGGTTTGGAACCGGGACTGACTCCCAGCCCCTCGTCTCCCACAGGTGGCCATCCAGCTCAATGACACCCACCCCTCCTTGGCCATCCCTGAGCTGATGAGGATTCTGGTGGACCTGGAGCGGCTGGACTGGGACAAGGTGGGCTCAGGACCCCTCCACCCCTGCCTGACTCTCTGTCTCAGGTTCCCTTCCCAGTCTGGGGAGTGGGGGGATGCGAGTGGAGCTCCCACTGAACAGACGGCAATGTGAGGCCCAGAGGGCGGGTGTTCTAGAACCTGGCACCACAGGGGCAGGGCCCGGGCTCCTGGCTGCTCAGTGTGTGGAGAGCCATGGGGCTAAGGCCCCAGGGTCCTGACTCCCTGCCCTGTCTGTCAGGCATGGGATGTGACAGTGAGGACCTGTGCCTACACCAACCACACAGTGCTGCCTGAGGCCCTGGAGCGCTGGCCAGTGCACCTCATTGAGACGCTGCTCCCCCGGCACCTCCAGATCATCTATGAGATCAACCAGCGCTTCCTTAACGTGAATAGACGAGGCATGGGGTGGAGGGCGGAGCGTGGAGGGTGTATGCAGCGTGGGTCCTGAAACTCTGGCGGGGATTGGGGTACGGGACTGGGGACCTGGGTACCTGGAGACCGGTCCTAGCTCTGGGCTCTCCGGGCACAGCGGGTGGCCGCCGCCTTCCCCGGAGACGTAGACCGGCTGCGACGCATGTCGCTGGTGGAGGAGGGCGCAGTGAAGCGCATCAACATGGCCCACCTGTGCATCGCTGGGTCGCACGCCGTCAATGGTGTGGCTCGCATCCACTCTGAGATCCTCAAGAAGACCATGTGAGGCCCGCTCCCAGACCCCGCCCTCCCGCTGGGCCCCGCCCTCCCGCTGGGCCCCGCCCACTCCAAACCCCGCCCCCCACTGCCCTTCCCCCGACCATTCCCGGTCGTCCCCACCTGGCCCGTTCCACAGGTAGCACTGCTCTTACGGCACCATAGCCCTGCCATCTAGTACAGTCCTGTCCCCAGATGACCCCGTCTTACACACAGCACCCCTACAGACCCCTTTCATCAAGAAACCAGGGTAGGGGCCCCAGGGAGGAGGCCTTCATCCCACAGAGGTGAGTGGTGAGCCCCCACCCCCATCCTGCAGCTTCAAGGACTTCTACGAGCTGGAGCCTCATAAGTTCCAGAATAAGACCAACGGCATCACCCCTCGGCGCTGGCTGGTTCTGTGTAACCCCGGGCTGGCAGAGGTCATTGCCGAGGTGAGAGGTCAACATGGGTCACTGCAGGGATCTGGGTACGGTTGTGCAGGTGGTTCACTGTAGGGGGCCCAGGGAGGGCTGAAATCCATCCTGCACTGCGTTCCCAAGCCCTGTATGTGCCTGGAGGAGGGGACCCATTTTCTTATTGGCATGAGGGAGCCCCACAGGCTAATGGAGGCCTGGCCATGAAGGTCAGCCTGGTGGCGTTCACAGTCTAATGGAGCGGGTCATCGACAGGTCATATCTGAAGTGAGACTGGGAGGGGGCAGAGATTGGGAGCAGGGCCTCGAGGTCATTGCCTGTCTGAGGAAAAGGCTGGGAGGAAGCGCTGCTGGGGTCGGGTGGGGTCAGCCAGCAGAGCTCAAGGTCAGGACGGGAGGAATGGACACACACCCACCATGCCCTGGCTTCGAGGCGGGAGAGGGAGGAGCTGTCTGCAGTGGACGGGGCTTGGCCGACCTGGAAAGGGTCCCCTCTGTGAGGGAGGATGGAGGAGGGGCATGGGCCTGATTGAGAGCCATCTGCCCCCAGCGCATCGGGGAGGAATACATCTCAGACCTGGACCAGCTGCGCAAACTGCTCTCCTACGTGGACGATGAGGCCTTTATCCGGGATGTGGCGAAAGTGAAGCAGGTGAAGAGGGCTGCCACCTGGGACACCTGTGCCAGGGCCCGAGTGGAGCGCTGGAGGGACCGATGTCTGGGTCAGGAATGGCCCATAGAGCTCATCTCTCCTGCAACCTCAGACCTTTGGTAGAAGTTGCCAGGAGCCGACAGCAGGAAGGCATCATCCCACCTCACTGGAAGAGTGCCGGCATTGATTAGCAATGTCTGCCCTGGTGCAGGAGTGGATGGAGGTGGCAAGTGAGCCTTCTTGCCTCTACCTTCCTGGGAAAGAAAGGAGACTGTAGGACTTCCGGAGGCTGAGGCCTATTGGTGAGCTCTGCCCTGTCCCCTGCCTTTAGGAAAACAAGCTCAAGTTCTCTGCATACCTAGAGAAGGAATACAATGTCCATATCAACCCCAACTCACTCTTCGATGTCCAGGTGAAGCGGATTCATGAATATAAACGCCAGCTCCTCAACTGCCTCCACGTCATCACGCTGTACAACCGTGAGTGGCAGGGCTCCGCTCTGGCTCTCGGTTCTCCCCGGACGGGTGCTGTCAGGAGCTATGCCCAGCGGGAAAGCCGGGCTCACTCGATCCTCTGTTTCTCCACAGGCATCAAGAAGGAACCCAATAAGTTTTTTGTGCCTCGAACTGTGATGATTGGAGGGAAGGTGAGAAGCCGGGCCACAGGCTGTGGCTCTGGGCCTTTGATGTCCAGGTTGAGGTCAGCCTGGCTGGCTTGCAGGATAGGGGGTTGGGGGGCCGGGCTGTGGAGCTGACCCCAGATTGTGCCCCACAGGCCGCACCTGGGTACCACATGGCCAAGATGATCATCAAACTCGTCACAGCCATTGGGGATGTGGTCAACCACGACCCGGTGGTGGGAGACCGCCTTCGCGTGATCTTCCTGGAGAACTACCGAGTCTCGCTGGCTGAGAAAGGTGGGGTGCCGCCAGCGGGGACCCTAGGGAGGCTCTGATTAGTTCAGGTCCTGGAGGAGGTATTAGTCACCTCCTCCTGGGGTACTTGCACTTTAAGGAAGAGTCTGGAGAGGACAATGCACAAATCATGAAGATGTCCCCCTAATGGTGGAATTTCAGACAGTAGAGGGTGAAATTACGGGGGAGATGGGCCTGTTGGTGCCCCTCAAATCACACATTGGAGCAGGGGGGGAGTCCAGGTTGGATCCCAGATGTTCTAGAATCAGCAAGAGGTGGGGGGGCAGCGAGAGGAGACTCAGCTGATGAAGACTGGAAGGTTGGGGTGGAGGGGACTCTGAAGCTGGCTCCGTCTGGGGCCAGCCTAACTCCAGAGTTCCCAGCCGGGGTGGGCTCTTCCTGGAGATGAGCTTGTCCCTTGCTGCCGCCCCACAGTGATCCCGGCCGCGGACCTCTCCGAGCAGATCTCCACCGCAGGCACCGAGGCCTCAGGCACTGGCAACATGAAGTTCATGCTCAATGGGGCTCTGACCATTGGCACCATGGACGGGGCCAACGTGGAGATGGCAGAAGAGGCGGGCGAGGAGAACTTCTTCATCTTCGGCATGCGGGTGGAGGACGTGGACAGGCTTGACCAGAAAGGGTATGGGCGGGGAGCGGCCCAGTGGTGCAGCGGTTAAGTGCGCGCGCTCCGCTTTGGTGGCCTGGGGTTCGCAGGTTCAGATCCTGGGTGTGCACTGATGCACCACTTGTCAAGCTATGCTGTGGCGGCATCTCATATAAAATAGAGGAAGATGGGCATGCATGTTAGCTCAGGGCCGGTCCTCCTCGGCAAAAAGAGGAGAGGAGGATTGGCATGGATGTTAGCTCAGGGCTGATCTTCCTCACAAAAAAAAAAAAAAGAAAGGGTATGGGGGTCAAGGGCTCCGAAGTCCACAGTCCATGGGCAGGGGGCACTGAAGTGTGGCTGCTGCAGGGGAGGGCTGGGAGCAAGAGGCATGCCTGGAAAGGCTGGCCCAGGCTGCACAAGGTCTTAGTCATGGCCATCAGGATTCTGGAAAACTTTTGAGGTAACTTATAACAAATAAGGTTTAATGAAATGAAAAAAGAAAGAAGTGGCACTGAATTGAAGGAAAAGGAAGAGAATGTTATATCAATCCTAAGAAATCATATTTTCTCTGGAATTAGAAGTAAAATTAAATTCTTAGCTCCCTGGCAGCCATGGCAAAAAGGGAAATATGAGGACATTAGTTACAACTGTACTTGTAGTCAGAAACGCAGTTCTTCAGAGGAGACATTTTCGTGGCATTTAAAAAATTTATTTTAAAATATGATTTTTTTCTTATCATAAAAGCAATACATGCTCATTAATTGGAAAAATACAAAACCACAAAGAATAAAATAACTGTCATCCATAGTCTCATCACTCAGATTTAAAGCCACACGTCTCTTTGTGTATTTATTTATTTATTTGTGAGGAGATCAGCCCCGTGCTACCCGTGCTAACATCTGCCAATCCTCCTCTTTTTCTTCTGAGGAAGACTGGCCCTGGGCTAACATCTGTGCCCATCTTCCTCCACTTTATATGGGACGCCGCCACAGAGCGGCTTGCCAAGCAGTGTGTCGGTGTGCACCCGGGATCCGAACCCGTGAACTCCGGGCCACCGCAGCGGAGCACGTGCACTTAACAACTTGCGCCACCGGGCCGGCCCCATCTTTGTGTATTGCTATGTGTGTGTATATATGTAGCTTTTAAGAGATGGGAATAATGTATGTACAGTTTTGAATCCTGATATTTTTCCATGTCATTAAATAGTTTTCAAAATATTTTAGAAGTTTTTATAAGGTTCCATCCTGTGGACAGGCTGTTACTTATTTAACTAGTTCCATATGGTTGGACATTCAAGTTGATTTTCCCTGTTCTTTAGTATAAATATCACCGTGATGGCCGACCTTTTACATCTATGTCCACATCTCTGATTATTTCCTTAAGATAATTATTAGAAGGGCCTATTTCTGAGTCAAAAAGTATGAATTTTTAAAGCTCTTGATACATATTGCCAAATTGTTTTCCAGAAAGTCAGTACCAGTTTACACTCCTACCAACAGCTTACGAGAGCTGGCATTAAATATTGAAAGGACTTTCTCCTGTGGGGCTTGACTAGAAAGTTCAGACTTGGTCCTTTGGACAGGAGGGAGATGTGAAATCTTTTGAACAAGGTCAGACACATTCAGAACTAACCTCTAGAAGGACAGTTTTGGCTGCAGGTTGGACACTGGACTGGACGGGGCCAAGAGCAGGTGGGGGACCAGTGTGGGGGCTGACACCATAAAGCAGGGGGAGACGCCTGCAGCAGGCCAGTGCTGGGGATTAGGGACGTTGTTGAGGAGGTGGCCTTGGTTTCTGGTTAGATCTCTAAGCCGGGAGGGGAGGAAAGAGATGCGACTGGCCTTGGGGAGGGTTTGGAACCCAGGTGGCTGAGGGATGGTTGTGCTGCCTCAGAGGGTGGAAACTGGAGGGAAGCTGGTGCTGGGGATGTGCTGAGCTTGGCTGGACAGTCTGAGCTTATGGACATTCCTGAGGATGTACCTGTTGACTCCTCCCGGAGCTTGAAGGCGAGGCCAGGGATGGACTTGGGAGAGGGTGGGAGAAAAGCCATTCTTGGAGGAAGCACATTGGTTAGAGACGGTGGTTTGGGGGAGGAAGGGCACCTGGTTTGAGGCCGTGGCTCTGACACCTCTCTGCCCTCTCCAGGCCTCAGTTTCCCCATCCACACACTGGAGGACGGACAGCTGAGCAGAGAAGGGGAGGGCCTCCAGGGAAGGGGCTCCAGAGGGCATGTGGCAGCTCCAGACAGGGTGGCAGCAGGCTGGGCCTGGGTTCAGACCCTGGTGCTTGGGACCTCCCGGCTGACAGCAGCTCCTCTCCGCAGGTACAATGCCCAGGAGTACTACGACCGAATTCCTGAGCTTCGGCAGGTCATCGAGCAGCTGAGCAGCGGCTTCTTCTCCCCCAAACAGCCCGACCTGTTCAAGGACATTGTCAACATGCTCATGCACCATGACCGGTGAGCTGGCCGGCCGGGGAGCCTCGCAACTGGGGCTGCTGGGCTGCGCAGGGCTCGGGCACGGTGGGGAGGCTGGACAGGGGTCCTGGGCAGTTGCGGCCAGGCTCCTTTGGAAGCTGCATCCTGTCCAGGCCCCCAGAAGTCCACTGGGACAGGATGGGTTTGGCCCTTGACCTCAAGGAGCTTCCTGCCTCTCCATTCCCCTCTAGGTTTAAGGTCTTTGCAGATTATGAAGACTACATTAAATGCCAGGAGAAAGTTAGCGCCCTGTACAAGGTGAGGGGTCCTGGGCCAGGGGTAGGCAGCGCTTTACGGGCCCTGGCTGGGATGAGGTGAAAGGGGGGCACCCCATCGGCAGAGTGAACTCAGAGCTCCCTTTTGGCCTGTAGAACCCCAGAGAGTGGACGCAGATGGTGATCCGGAACATAGCCACCTCAGGCAAATTCTCCAGCGACCGCACCATTGCCCAGTACGCCCGAGAGATCTGGGGCGTGGAGCCTACCCGCCAGCGCCTGCTGGCCCCTGATGAGAAGATCTGAGAGTCCAGACCAGACCCTAAACCAGCCCCTGAGTCTGTTTGCAATCCCTTGGGCCAGCCCCAGCTCCTCATCCAGAGGGTGGGGTACTGGAGTTAGATCTCTAAGCCTCTTCCTGGAACCCCCATTTCCACCCAGCCTCGAAGTCCCAGTGTCCACCTTGACTAAGGACATTGCTCCCATCCTGTCCTCCGGCTCCCTGCCTGCTCCTATTTATGGGTCTGACCAACTGCACCCACTCCCCAATAAATTGATTCTCCTTGAGAGCCTCCTTTCTCCTCTCTCTGTTGGGAAATATTTTTAGCTCTGGGCGGGCACAACAGCAGCTGCGCTGTCACCCCCACCCGCGGCAGGTGCGTCCTCTCCGAAAGGGGGACGGCCGGTGGGGGCGGGGCCGGGGACTCTCCAGCTCCCTTCCAGGCGTCACCCTCCACGTCTGTCTTCCCAGTGCTGTGTCCATACTAGGTCAGCGGCCTGCCAGGCTGGCCGGGGGCGGGGCATCCGCCTGGGTGGGGCCCACCGGGGCTGGGAGCCGGGGCTTGGGCAGAGGCCTCCCGGACTACGCTGCCGGGGGCGGGACTCCGGAGGGGGCGGGGCCTGTGGGTGGTTGGCCCCTTCTTGACTCCGCCCTTAGCCCCGCCCCACTGCGGCGTTTCAGGGTCTCTAAGCAGGTGGCTACGCTTAGTCCGAAGGAGGGGGAGTGTTAGGGTGGGGGACCCTCACAGATCGTCTAGGCCAGGCCAATGTTGCCCACCTTCACTTTGGGGAAACTGAGGACCAGAAAGAGCCTGTTTCTAGACCTCGCATTACCAAGATTGAGGTGTGGGGGAGGTCCTGCCTCCCCAGCCCCGAGGCGGGGAGGGGCAAGCCTCGGAAGGCAGGTTTGGGGCCGGTGGTTTCATAGTGAGTGTGTTTGAACCCAAACGGCCGGAAACGGTTACCAGCTCCCCTAGGCCCGGCTTGTGGGGACCCCAACCGCCTGCGGCTGCCCCTCCCAAGTTCCTCCCTGCCGGGGGCCCAGGCCTCCAGGCCTCCAGTCTCCAAGCTGCGAACACACCGCCGCTTGCAGCTGCCCCTTCCCGTCTAACCCCGTGGGGAGCCAGGCTTCCGGGCCCCAGTCCCTCCTGTGTGAACTGGAGTTGCCCCCAACATCCCCAGACACCAAGGCCCTGTCTCCAGGTAGCCGCGTTTTCATTCTTCCCTCCCCACAGGTCCCTCTCCCCAAAATGCTCCCATCTTGTAGTGGCCCCTCCCCCAGGCCATCACAAGGACCCGCTGCCCCCACGCCCCCAATCTCCACCAGGCCGGTGCCCCCCGCTGCCCGCAGGAAGACGCCCGACCCCGGGCCGGCTCAGCCCCGTGGGAACGGTTTGTCTCGAAAACAGGAACCCGGGCCGGGGGCTGGGCGGGGCGCCCCTTCCCCACCGCAGTCCGCTTCCTGCCCCTCCCGGCTTCCTCTGCCCAACACCCGACAGGGCGGGGGGCACAGGGGCATCTGGGGTGCGAGGAGGGGGCTCTCGGTTTCGTCCCCCCTCCGCGCCCCGCGCGGCCCGATCTCCGCTCGCCCACCCTCGGCGCGGCCAGTGGCGCAGCCCCCCTCCCGCGGGCCTGGCCTCCCGGGCGGCGCGGCAGGGGAGGGGTTAAGCTGCCGCAGGGACCGCCGCGTGCGGGGCGAGAGGGAGCCCCCGGTGGGGGAGGCGCAGCCGG